CTTGAAGATATTATACACATAAGATCTTATAACCTAAATACATTATATACTTGACACGTTAAGGCCATGTGTCCATATCTATTCATAAGTACATCAAAGTTATGCCCTAATAACTTCTTGAAGCGGCCAAACCTTGTACTTATATAGGTAGATCTTTCATAAACATGCTCCTGTGACAAACCACAATGTCAAAAAATCTATTAAGTAAAACAACCTCTTTTCATCACAGTAAAACTGGAACTTACCTAGGATGAATACAAGTTCCCAATCACTCAATAAAGAAATTAATCTTATTGAACTTAAGACCCAACGTCTTATTGGGCGTTAAGTTAAGATTTCCTTATTTGTAATTATTTAGGGCTCCAATCCTAAACCGATTGCCATCCTCTTAATAACATCTCTTGTCAATGCTTTTGTGAAGCAATCAGTGAGATTAAACTTTGTACGAACATAGTCAATAGTAATTATACTATCCTTGATAAGTACTTGAATGTAACTATGCCTTACACCAATGTGCCTTGACTTACCATTATATACTTGACTATATGCCTTAGCCAAGGTTGCATTATTATCACAATGTATCACTATAGGTGATATTGGTTTTGCCAACAAAGGTATCTCAAACATGAGATCCTTCAACCATTCAACTTCTTTACCAGCTGAATGCAAAGCAATGAACTCTGATGTCATTGTGGAGTCCGCAATGCAAATTTGCTTCTTTGAAGCCCATGAGATAGCACCTCCCCCATATAGGAATACCCAACCACTTGTGGAGGTATGATCTTTATTAGAGATCCAACTTGCATCCGAATATCCTTCTATAACCGAGGGATATCCACTATAAGACAAACTATAATCCATGGTTTTCTTCAAGTATTTCAACAAACGTCGAACTTCTTGCCAATGTAGCATACTAGGATTACTAGTATATCTACTTAGTTGACCAACTGCATAAGCAATATCCGGTCTAGTACTTGTCATGGCATACATCAAACAACCTATTACTCTTGCGTACTCCAGTTGTGAAACTGCATTACCTTCACTAGGTAATAATTTTACGCTAGGATCCATAGGTGTTGAATAAAGAGAAAGAGAATTTTCACTTACATTGAACTTTTTGATCACTTTCTCAATATAATGAGATTGTGACAAGATCAACTTCCCTTTTTCCTTCTTTATTCTTATGCCCAAGATGACATCCGCCTCTCCCATGTCTTTCATGGAAAACTTTGAACTAAGGAATTCCTTTGTCATTTCAACTTGTGACATACTTGTTCCAAAGATCAACATGTCATCTACATATAGACAAATTATGACACTTTCACCGTTGTCATTAAATTTACTATATATACACTTGTCTAAATTATTCAACTTGAATCCATTAGACAACACAACCTCATCAAACTTTTGATGCCGTTGCTTAGGTGCTTGCTTAAGCCCATACAAAGATTTAATCAACTTGCAAACTTTTTTCTCTTGGCCTTCCACAACAAACCCTTCCGGTTGTCGCATGTAAACCTCTTCTTCTAGATCTCCATTCAAGAACGCTATCTTGACATCCATTTGATGGATCACAAGATTATGGATAGCCGCAAGAGCTATCAACAACCTTATATTGAGATTCTAGCAACAGGTGCATATGTATCGAAATAATCAATACCTGGCTTTTGTGTAAAACCTTGTGCCACTAACCGGGCTTTGAATTTTTCAACAGTTCCATCAATCCTCAATTTCTTTTTGAAGATCCATTTGCACCCTATTGGTTTACATTTAGGAGGTAAATCAGCTAATACCCAAGTATTGTTTCCTATGATGGAATCCATCTCATCATTAATTGCTTCCTTCCAAAATGGAGCATCATAAGACTTCATAGCCTCATCAAATGTTGAAGGATCATCTTCCACATTAAAAATATAAGGAAATTGAGTCAAAACATTATTTCTTGATCCCTCAATTAAGTACACATGAAAATCTGGGCAAAAGATTTCTCTTTCCTAGCCCTCTTACTTCTCCTAAGTGGAGATGATGATGAAGATGCCTCCTCTAAATGAGCTTTGTCATCTTCCTCTTGATCAAATATAATTTGATCATCACCTTGAGCATTGGTATTTGGAGTAATATCCTTAGGTCTAGGAATTGATGAATATCTATTTTCATCAAACAATGCATCCCTTGACTCTATGGTGGTATGAACCTACCAAAAGTCATTTTGTTCTATCACATAAAACCTATAGGATTTGCTATGTTCCGCATATCCTATAAAAATGTATTCAACTCCTCTTTCACCTAACTTTTTACGTTTAGGTTCCGGCACTTTTACAATTGCCCTACAACCCCAAACTTTGAGATGACTAAAGTTTGGTTTCCTTTTGTACCATAGTTCATATGGGGTAACCTCGTTCCTTTTCATAGGAACTCGGTTTAAAATGTAACAAGCTGTTAAAACCGCTTCTCCCTAAAATCCATCACTCAAACCCGAATAGGATAACATGGAATTAACCATTTCTTGTAAAGTCCTATTCTTCCTTTCCGCTACACCATTTTGTTGTGGTGTATTTGCCGCGGTTGTTTCATGTACTAATCCTATAGATTGGAAATAACTTGGATTATAGTATTCACCTCCTTTATCGGTTCTTAACTTGTTAATCTTTTCATTTGCTTGCAACTCTACTTCATTTTTGTAGATTTTAAATTTGTCAAGGGCTTCATCCTTAGAAAACAATAAGTATACATAACAAAATCTTGAAAAATCATCAATGAAAGTTACTAAATATTTCTTATTGCCTAAGGTAGGAGTGTTGTGAAAGTCACATAAATCACTATGCACTAAATCAAGTAATGAAGTATCTTTTTCTACATTGTTAGGAAATGGTTTCCTTGTAATTTTTGTTAGCATGCATGTTCTACACTTCTCTATCTTTGGATCAAATGATGGTTTTAATTCATGCTTAGACATAAAGTAAAGCTTCTTGTAATTAACATGTCCAAGTCTAAAATGCCATAGAGAAGAGTTATTACTTACAACATACACACTATCCCTAACATTATTACAAATACTTAATTTAAACATTCCATCATACAAATAACCAAGTCCTACAAATATACCACCTTTAGACAAAATAAATTTATCCGACTCAAACACCATTTTAAATCCTAATTGATTCAAGATAGCACCGGATACAAGATTTCTCCTAAGCTCAGGAGCATACAACACATCTCTTAAAATAAGAGATTTGCCCGAACTAAAAATTAGTTCTACTTGTCCTTTGCCTAGCACCCTTGTTGTGGAATCATTTCCCATGTATAGGATTTCTCCATCATCAACCTCCAAAAAGGTCTTGAACAATGAACGATCCTTGCATACATGCCTCGATGCTCCTGAATCGATGTACCACGAACAATTATCCTGCACACATAGGATTTCAGAAATCACACACACATAATCCATAAATGAATTAAGTGAAATTTGTGTACAAGAGTTACCTTGCTTGTCTTGAGATTGGCTTGACTCGCCTTTCCCACTTTGAGTCCTTTTCTTGCTCATCTTTTTCTTCCAAATGGTACAATCCTTTTTAAAATGACCGGGTTTTCCACAAACCCAACAAGTACGTGATTTTTTACCATCACTATCACCCTTAGGCTTCTTGCCTTTATTATTGTTTGAGTCATTTCCTCTTTTCTTGTCATTTGACTTAGAGTCCTCTACCATATTAATGATAGAACTAGGATTTCCATCCTTTTGTCCATCTTGAATTCGGATTCCCTCTTCAATCCGAATATGGGAATCCAAATTTTCAACATTTATTTCATCCTTCCTATGCTTTAAAGTGTTTCTAAAGTCATTCCAAGAAGGTGGCAATTTATCAATAATAGAAGATACAACAAAAGTCTCATCCATACTTATATCATGTTGTTTAAAACTCCCTAAAATTCTTTGAATTTCATGAAATTGTTCCATCACCGGCCTACTATCAACCATTTTATAATTATTGAAATTACTAACAAGAAACTTTTTGCTAGATGCATCCTCGACCATATACTTAGATTCTAAATCATCCCAAAGAAGTTTAGCAGATTCATAAAATTAATAAACATCAAACAAGTCATCAGACATACCATTAAGAATGTGTCCACGGCATATGTAGTCATCATTCTCCCACTTGTTCCTCTTTCTAGTATTTTCCAATGTCTCATTTTCCTCCTCCAATGGCTTTGGGGTAGTGAGAACATATGCCAAACCAAGAGAAGTCAAGAGAAAATGCATTTTCTTTTGCCATCTTCGAAAACCCACGCCCTCGAACTTGTCCAATTTTTGGAAATTTGATGTCAATTCCTTAACGGTGGCCATCTTTGCAAGTATATTACTTTTGGATTGTTGGGGATAATAATAAAAATACAAGGGACACAAAGAAGAAATCGTAATTAAACAATAATAACCTTCGAGGCGTGAACGAAATCACTTTCCCAAAAGTAATATTTCGACCCTTAAACTACAACCTGGGTATCACGAAATTACTTAGGAGATACAACGAAGAACAATCACAATTATGTGTAGTATAATTATGATTCAATGTAAACTAGTATATTTATTTTGTGATGATGAACAATGACAAACACATGCAAATTGACTTTGTTAATGAAGAGATAAAAATCTAATCGTCTCTTCACAACCCTTACGTTGAAAATATATATGCAGCATGCAAAAAGTGAATAGACATTATTCCAAAAGGTGCCATATCCAAAAAGGTGAATAGACATTATTCTAAAAGGTGCCATATACATAAAAGTGAATAGACACTATTCCAAAAGGTGTCATATACATAAAAGTGAATAGACACTATTCCAAAAGGTGTCATATACATAAAAGTGAATAGACACTATTCCAAAAGGTGTCATATACAGTTTATTTCATCAAGCAATGCAATACTCTAAATAACTCAACAATAATTTGTTTCAATGATTCAAGAGTTCTTTTATTCATTAAAGTGATTTCTCGGCAACTAAATTGTTGTCTGACCCATTTCAATCGATGTATCAGCAATGCCAATGTTGTGGTCGATGTCAGTAGTAGAGTAATCATTTCCACAATTATCCATCTCTCTATATGTTCCTTTGGACATCTCAATGGCTAAACAATCATTCAGATCGCTCAACACTTGGTTCATGCTTGGCCTTTGGATTGAAGTAGATGATGCACACATCATAGCAATATCCAAGGATTTCCATGCAGAGTTGGTGGTGAAATGTCCTTCAAATCTCTTATCGACAATGCTTTCTATATCCCCACTCTCAAGCTTAGGAGTATTCCATGCGATTGTGTGTATGGCTTCACCGTTGCTTCTGGATAGAGTATAAAACATATTCCTAGGCCTCAACCATACCATTTTAATAGACCATCTCAACCAAAAGCTTAAGCTGATGGTTGAGGCCCAGGAATATGTTTTATACTCTATCAATTATTATTTCATCATGTGGCTCAGAATTACACCTAACCTTAATTTTAATGAGCCATCCTCTATCTTTTTGCTGAGTGCTACTGGAACTGGACCAACAAGCTTGTTACTTCTTAAATCTCTGTTGTAACTGAGTAAACAAGTAAACTAAATATCATAAATTTGCAGAGCTACTTTAATTGAATATTTAAGTTTTCAATAGCTTACATAGTATGTAGAGATGGAAAATCAGACAGAAAATCAGGTATAACCCCTGTCAGGCTATTATGTGAAAGATTCCTAAAAGAACGGAAAACACAATGAGCCGTGGCATATGAGTGCTAAGTATTATGTAAACAAATGAATAATTAAGTATACTTTCACGGTTAGAAACTTAGAACAAGATATATTATGTAATGTTTTGCCTTTAAATCACCACCAGTATAAACTTTCGGGATATCAATGGTGCACAACATCAGTATTAAAAGTCTAGTAGGATTTAGTTTGGCTTAATTTCCATTTGGTAGCCAAACATTGATAAATTCATGAAAAAAATGCATCTTGGTTTAGTTCGTAACATAACTTATCAAATCATAAAAAGTGCAGTATTTCCAAATTTTAATAAAAAATCATAGGTGTAATAAGTCATATACTCACAAGTATTCTAAAGATGTTAGTGCAAACAATGAATGAGGTATATCTCTAGTCAAACCATCGAGAGCCAAATTCCTGACATTTGAGTCAGTTCAATAAGTAGAACATCTATGTTGTCAAATGGATACAATGCTGATTTCCAGTGGTTTGCCTAGGAACTTCTGGGCAGAAGTAGTGAATGTAGCATGCTATATTCTAAATAGAGTTACTGTTAGAGCCATCACCAACAAGACGCCATACGAACTCATCAAAGGGAGAAAGCCTAATATTTCTTACTTTAAATCTTTTGGTTGTAGATGTTTTGTTCATAATAATGGTAAAAGAAACTTGGGAAAGTTTGATGAGTGAAGTGATGAGGTTATATTCTTAGGATATGCCTTAAATAGTAAAGCTTATAGAGTCTATAATAAAAGAACAATGTGTGTTCAAGAATCTGTACATATTATTTTTGATGAAACTGAACATTTGATTGATGTACAGGAAGGTGATGATGATTTTGAAATTGGACTTATGCGAAAGTACGATCCAGATGAGAAATCAACATCATTGCAGAAGCAGCACTCTGAAAAGAAAGGTGAAGTGAATTATGAATTAAATAAAGAGAAAACAACAGAGGAAGCACCAGGGACTCCACTTCAAAATCAACAAGTGCAAGTGGAAGTACCTGTAGAAGTTCAAGCTGAAACTCAAGGAGAAGTTCCAACTGAAGTACCAGTCAATAATGCTACACAAGAGAGATTATATCCCATCAGAGACTTTCAGCCTAAGTCTTGGAAGCATCAGAAGTCATATCCAGTGGAAGCAATTATAAGTGATATTGCTAAAGAAACTCAGACCAAAACTCAGCTTAGGAACTTTTGTGCATTCTATGCATTCCTATTCTCCAATGGAACCTAAGAACCATGTTTAAGCTTTGACTGATGCAGACTGGATTAATGCTATGCAAGCAGAATTGAATGAGTTTGAAAGAAACAAAGTTTGGCATCTGGAACCTAGACCTAGTCATCAAAAGACTATAGGTCTCAAATGGGTGTACAGGAACAAACTAGATGAGCATGGTATTATTGTCAGAAACAAAGCAAGACTTGTTGTTCAAGGATTCAATCAACAGGAAGGAATCGACTATGATGAGACATTTGCTCCTGTAGTAAGGTTAGAAGCCATTCGCTTACTTATAGCTTTTGCTGCTTATATGGGATTCAGGTTGTACCAGATGGACGTCAAGTGTGCATTTCTAAATGGAGTTCTTGAAGAAGACGTCTATGTGGAACAACCTCCTGGATTTGAAAATCCAGAGTTCCCAAACCATGTTTACAAGCTTGACAAAGCCCTTTATGGACTGAAACAAGCTCGTGGAGCATGGTATGAAAGGTTGTCCAAGTTCCTTTTGAATAATGGTTTTAAACGTGGTAAAATTGATAAAACTTTGTTTTTAAAATAAAATGCAACTGACATCATAGTTGTACAGATTTATATTGATGATATATTATTTGGTGTAACTAATGAATCTTTGTGTAAGTACTTTGCTGACCTCATAGTGGAGAAGTTGAAATGAGCATGATGGGAGAGTTTAATTTCTTTCTTGGTTTGCAAATTAAGCAAACTAAAGAAAGGATCATGATCCATCAACAAAAGTACATAAAGGAACTGATCAAGAAATATAAGCTTAAAAATTCTAAGACCAATAGAACTCCCATGGGGGTTGCAACTAAACTTAATGAAGACCTATCTAGAACTTGCATAGATCAGACTATGTACCGAGGTATGATTGGCTCTCTACTTTACTTGACATCTAGTAGACCTGACATATCTTTTACTGTAGGTCTGTGTGTCAGGTTCCAAGCAAACCCAAAGGAGTCACACCGGATTGCAGTAAAAAGAATCCTTCGTTACTTGAAAGGAACTGATGATTTGGGTCTCTTCTATCCCAGAAGTGATGCATTTGAGTTAAGTGGTTTTACCGACGCTGACTATGCAGGTGACTTGGTTAATAGAAAGATCACTTCAGGGTACAGTTTTTAAGACCGTGTTTAGTATCTTGGGGTTCCAAGAAACAAAACACAGTTGCATTATCTACAGCTGAAGCTGAATATGTAGCTGTAGCAGCATGTTGTTCTCATATGTTATGGATAAAGCAACATGTTAGAGATTTTGGTATTTTATTTAAGTGTGTTCCTATTTATTGTGGCAATACTAGTGTTATATGTATTTCTAAAGATCCAGTTCAACACTCCAAGGTCAAGCACATCCACATTAGGCATCACTTCCTAAAGGATAATGTGGAACAAGGGAATATTAAGTTAGAATTTTGTCAAACTGAAAATCAAATTGCAGATATTCTAACCAAGCCCTTGAACAGAGAAAGATTTGAGAAATTGATATTGGAACTTAGGATGATCAAGTTGACTTGATTGCTTCTGAAGTTCCAAGATATGGCAAAGTCAGAAACAATGTGAAAGAAGACAAAAGGACATCTAGCACAACCTTGGTGTGCTAAACATAGCTGAAGTGTCACCGTTGGTGAATTCTTAGAGGTTAGTTCACTAACGCTTGAATGCATGTATAAGTAGCAGTACGTTGTATATGTGTAGAAAACGTGTTCCAAATACATTTGATTTTTGGAAAATTTAATTTTTGGAAATTAAACGAATTTGGAAAGAAAAGATTTTGTTAAAATTTTCATCCTGATAAAATGTTGGAAATTAAAAGTGAAATTGTTCAATTAATGACTGAACAGTTGCCTTATTCTTATCTCTCACACCGCTTCATTAATTATAAAAGCAACTCCCATCCACTTTCTTACTCCACTGTCAAATCAAATAAACCACTCTCTGTAAAAACCATCAAACTCTCTCAAAACCCTTAAACCTTGCAACGCATAGCGATTAAAACCTCGAAAAAATGAACCGAAAAAATTCCAACACCACAACAATTTGAACCTGAAGAGGCATCACCTCTAGCCATGATGGTGTACGAATCACCAAATAAAGAAGACAAAGTTCGTGAAAACTCCACACCCACAACTTCGACCACCAAGAAAAACCCTAAGGAGAAAGAGAAAAATTCCGAGGGTGGTGAAGCATCGTCTACATCGAATGTGTTCAAAAGACTTCAAGAATGGAAAGACAAGAAGGCTAAGCAGAAATCTCTGGAAGAACACATCAAGGAAGTAGAGGATTTCGCTGAGGGGGAAGTTCAATCAGAAACTGAGGATGATGCTATGGAGAAGGACAAGGTTCGGGAAGATGTTGAAAAATACGCCAACAGGTATGTTGTTGGTCACTGACTTGATCTTACATGGTGTAGAAAACCTAGGTTTATGGAATTTCTTAATTTGGTGCGTTTCAAAGGTTGGGAACATATGCTGTCTAAATCATCAAATAATGTAATGTATCCAATTGCTATGAATGAATTTTGCAAGAATTTTAAGGTGAAACAGGGGATTATTTCAAGTAATGTGAATAATGTTCCAATTGAGTTTGATGTTGAGAGATTGGGAACTATTCTGAAAGTTCCTACAAAGGGGTATGAAGCTTACATAAAGGGAAAATCTGCGGTGAAGGTAGGAAACTACTTGGGGGGATACATTGTTGAGTTTTTGGGAGGCAAAAGAGAAATAAACATCATGAATCACAACAATTTAAGTCCCATGAATAAATTGTTATTTAATCTGATTAGGAAAACAATTTTGCCGAGAACCCAAAAGAAAAATGAAGCTTGTTTGTTGGATATGACTGTAATTTTCTACATAGTGAAAAAGATAAAAATCAATTTTCCATCCCTGATGTATCAACACTTAGCACATTGTGTTCCTAATAAAAACAAAGTGGGTTATGGAGCTTTGCTGTCAACTGTGTTTGAAAGCTTGGGTGTGAAGCTTAAGGGAGAGTATGGGGGATTGAAAGAAAAAGCTTATATCCATTATGTTATTTTATTTATCTCTTACCTTTATGTAGTTCTTCTAAGTTTTTGTTTTATTTTGTTAATCTTGTATATTTTTGTTTTAGCGTCGATGTTCTTTGAAAATTCTGCTATTATGTTCTTTGAGGTATTGAGGGACACATACCTTTTGTTTTAACATATGTTATTTTTATTTTCTAAATTAGTTTTTAGTGTCGTTTTTTATTATAAAATTTTATATTATTAATTTATTAATTCTACGTTTTCTTACATATTTATTATCATTTAATAACTTTTTTTGGTTGATGGCGATATTCTTTTACGATATACTCTATTGATAATTAATTTCCAAACTTAAAGAGCACGCATCTGTAATGTTAATAAAGAAATGACAACAT